CTGCTCCTGCGTCTAGCAGCACAAGAAGAGAGAGGCAATACAGATACGGTCCACCTCTAAAGCCTCTAGAGAAGTTACCGTACGAGAGGACCAAGGAGGAAAACAATACGATCGTGCAGGCCCACGTGAAGGAGTTCTTTGAAGGGGTGAAAGCAAAGAGACATCCACCTCCGGAGGAGAAGGTAGATCCGGTGAAAGCAAAGCGCACTCTCGATGCCCTGAGGAAACCACCAAAGTCTTCGCCGAGAACCAACTATGAGCGCATTACTGAACAGACATATCTCCAAGCCAAGCGGTCGGGAACTACTGTCAGTGATAAAAGGTCAAAAGAACAACGAGCAAAGGGGAAAAAATGCCCAGCTCGGCGAACAAGCACAACAATCGTGCCCCCCGCTCAATGTGTCTAATCCTCCGGGGACGGTGGCCGGTTATGACAATCTTGAAGATTACCTGCCTGACGATGCACTTCCTGATTTCATGGAGGTGGACGTATTCAGATACGAGTACGGGAAGCCTCTCGTCAAAGATGAAAAATCTCTGACAACAATGATGCGAAGATTCCATAGTTGGTACATGAAAACCTGCAGGAAGTCTGAGGGGACGAACAGTTTGTATCTGAACATTAAAGAGGAGCACGACCTCGTTTCAAATGATCTGTTGTGTGTTCCATTTGAGGAGTTCTTCGAGTTCTTCAATCAAAAGGCCCTCGATAAATTAATGGTCTTTTGCTACTGCCTGTAAGTACTATTTCTGTCATTAAGTCTCTATATATAGCTCGGCTCTTTCATTGCATGTATTTATAATTAATTATCCTCAATATATTATGCAGATTGAAGATCCTCGAGTGCAAAAAACAAGAAATTTATGATATTGGATTCATTAACACAAATATCATAGATGTATTTCTGGTTGAAAAGAACGTCGAAGAGGCCGAGGACAACTTGCTACAATCGTTGATCAAAAATCAAAACAAAGATACCATACTCTTTCCTTACAACGGCCCGTGAGTGTTACTGTCCTGTGCATATTCGGTTTCCCTTATTACTCGAGCGAGGTTAATGTAATTGATGAGTTATGCATGCGTGCGCAGGTACCACTATATTCTTCTGGAGATTAAGCTTGAGCGTGGACTAGTAACCGTCTTAGACTCGAGACGGAAAGATCCCAGCACCTATGCGGACATGACTGAAATGCTCAGCAAGTAAGTTCAATCGATCATTATCGCATCATATCGGCAACTTTTTGTTCATTTCCTGATGTCTCAAGTAATAATAATTATTTTCTTTGTCTTGCAGGGTTTGGAAACAGTTCACCGCACAAGCTCCGGGACTGCCGAAGGAGCTGCGATATATATACCCGAAAGTAAGTACTGCTGGCTAGCTAGTTGCGCGCATCTCCCGTTGATTCTATAGCTATACTTTCATCAATGCCATTTATGATGCTTCATTATCAGTTTGATTGACCTCTATTTCTCGTAAAGTGCTTGTGGCAGGAGGAAGGGAATGATTTCTGTGGATACTACGTGTGCGAGTTCATCCACAACGCGACTTTGAAAAACAAGCGGGGCTACTCTAGAAGACAATATGAAGTGCGTAAGCAATAATATTCACAATTTTATTTTATTACACCATCATTTTTGTTGAGTTTCATTCATATATATGTATTAATTAACCCCCTTCTTCAAATTAGACGTGGCAGATGCGGGATGAACTCCTAGAACCAGATCGCATGAAAGCAATTCAAGAGGAATTGGCGGGATTCTTTCTTGAACACGTCATCAGTAAAGCCGGAGAATACCATGTGGAAGTTGATTTCAAATGCTAGGGGTTTGTAATTAAGAGATCTTATACATATTGTACATGTATGTAGCCAGTAAAAAACTTGTTGTTTGACCAATCTCTCGGAGAAGGAGAGGTCGATCGATCACTTCTCTCGGTATGCATGACGAACTTCTGCACTGAATGGTTCTCTCGATCACTTATGTATATATACTACGTAGCGTCGACCAAGCACGGACATAAGAGAGGACACTTCTCTCTATTAATTAGCTAGCTAACACAATATACGAAACACCTAAATTAACCCCCCAAAACCCCCAACCCCCCTCCTTTCAAAAAAAAAACAAAAACCCAGCCACTGGAATGCAGACGCGTGGATGCCTTTTGGTCCCGGTTGGAGCCACCAACCGGGACCAAAGGCCCCCTGACTGGGCTCGGCGCACAGGGCCACGTGGAGGCACATTGGTCCCGGTTCGTGTTTGAACCGGGACTAATGGGTGGAGGTATTAGTAACGACCCATTAGTCCCGGTTCATGAACCGGGACTGAAGGCCCTTACGAACCGGGTCTAATGGGTGGTTTTCTACTAGTGTACACCCATCTCATACCCTACTTTGAAAACCGTATCACTCGTCTCTAGAAACGAGATCCAATAACCGCTAGAGAAATATCAGTTGTTGCATCACTCCATGCAACATAGAATTGCAATCATTCGTCGTCAATCCAGAAGATTGGAGAAACCGGATCATGTCACTGAAGAGGTCATAGTCGATGTACCAAGATCTGATCAATTGCCAAGATTTGAAGAGAGCCAACAAATTTGGCAACGCCTAGCCCTCGCAGGTCATTCATTCGTCAACGACCGATTGGACGTCGTTGAGGTAGGAGAGACCGGAGAGACCTTATTCCAATGTATCATCGCCGCCACCATTCATCGATGCCACCGCGAAAACAAAAGCCTAGGAGAAACAACAACTAAGAAAAAGGAAAGGGAAAGATTCCCACTCCCCTAGCCACCGAAACCACCAGGCAGGAAAGACCGAAAGAGGAAGGGGGAGGATTGTTTGTCAAAAGAGACCACCTGCCGGATCGAAATGACAAAAAAGACCATCTCTGAATTAGATTGACAAAAGAGACCCCCTCGGTCGTGGCGGCAGGCGCGCCAAGCGACACGTGGCACCTGCCGCCACGCCGTGAGGCGGCCGACCCCGCCGCCACGCTGCCAGGCGGCGAGTCGCTGGTGACAGGATTCCAGGCGGCAACGGAACGGTGACTGGTCTGGTGGGCCACGCCGCCACCATTTGAGGCGGCCGCCACTGTACCTGCTGCGCTCGGGCCGACACACTGCTACTGCCGCACGCGGGACGGGTGGGCCCTGCCGCCACCGTGTGAGGCGGCTGGCACTGTAGCTGGTGGCACTGTATTATGTGTACCACACACTGGAGCGCATTTGCTTGAACCGGACATAGCAGCTTTTTGGTCGTCCAATCAGCCTAATCACTAGAGATGATCTTAGCTAGCACCGGAAATGCATCTAGTCAAAACCGTGCATGCAATGATGCCACTCAGTGACCCAACCCGTGCATGCAATGGTGGCAGCAACTACAGTTCCGGCCGCCTCATACGGTGGCGGCAGGGTCCACCATACCCATGTTCCGTTCCGTCCTGTGTGGCGAGGGGCTGAAAAACTGTAATGCACAGGCTGCCGTCTAGCAGCGTGGCGGCGGGGCCGGCCACCTCACGGCGTGGCGGCAGGTGCCACGTGTCGCCTGGCGCGCCTGCCGCCACGACCGAGGGGGTCTCTTTTGTCAATCTAATTCAGAGATGGTCTTTTTTGTCATTTCGATCCGGCAGGTGGTCTCTTTTGACAAAAAAATCGAAGGGGGAGAGGCAGCGACGTGGAAGAGACTCTGATAGCAAGAGTTAGTGACAAGGGGCTACTGTTACCAAAACACAACTCTTTGGCTGAGCTCACGCAGGAAATGTGTTCTGTGCCCTCTACTGGATAATATAATTCTCCTTTTTTTTGCGAGAAAACAATATAATTCTCCTTTTAACTAGACAGTATTATAAGACTTCTGATAAAGTTCAGCACAAACATTAGACCAAGAACAAGCTTTAACAAATTCCCAAAAGGACAAGAAAAAAATGTTTTAGCAAACATGGATAACAAGTTCAATTGGCACCAGTTTAACATGTTTGGGAGAAGAACAAACTACTGTACATTAATGTACAGCTAGTATAAACTTGGACTGGAGAACATGATCCAGTCAGCGTTCCAACCAGGCAAACGTTTCAGAGACCATTGCTGCTTAAATTTACAAACATTTTTTGTAATGATAAAACCTGGAACAGCCTTATTTTCATCAAGATTATAGCACAACAACATTCATGTTCCTCCATAGAGAAAATAAGGCATTCACACCTCATCCTACGGTGAAAAGAGTCTTTTATTGCAGCAGAAGTAAAAGAAAACAGACACCGAAACGTAGTAGCAAAAACAGTACCATCATCATAGTGCAAACAGACAATTCAAACCAAAACATCACAAGAATATTTCTCCACGCACGGGGCCAAGTCAGGGTTAACGCACAAATCAACACGCAGCAATTGCAGGACAGGAATTTGAACAGCTGAACCATGACCAGCATTTACAAGAACTTGGGTGCACCTGACCACTGCACCCCCTCACCAAAAGAATAATTTAGTCAGAACAAAATGCTGCTAACTATGCCTCACCACCTCTAATCACAATTCACAAATCCATTCTGGTGCAATTTCAAAAAGAAAAGTGAGCAAAAATTTGCCGACTATACCACACACTTTGAGATCCACATTTGCCTACCACTTATAAGCTTCAACATTTGATTTGAGGCACTAATCAAGACGACCGGCGACATCAGCCAAAGCACAGCTCACCAACTTGGAGGAGCATTTCCAGAACACATCCTGTTGCAGATATCCTCAAGGATCTCTACTGCATTCTTGGGAAGGTAATACAGTCAGAAATCCAAGTTGAGATCGGCAGCAGGTCGCCAGATTGGATGTTTTCAAGTACCCGTCAGGTGAAATGGATCAAGACCGACAAGGGTACTATGAGCTATATGGACCTTTCACAAGACCTACAACTCTACAGATAAATTATCTACAACAACAATACAAGGTATGAAACACTGTTCTTCATCTTCCATGTTGCAATTTTGTAAGAGCATGTGCTGCAGTACTAACTTGATGTGTCAACCTCCTTCCCATGATCTTCATTTATTGTTCTTCGGAACCTTCGTAACCATATTTCATAGTCCATTGGGTACGGGGTCCCACAAAGGCTGTCAACATAATCTGCAAATGCTTTCAAAACTGCTGCAACATCACCCAGCTTCTGTTGTATAACTCTCCTTGACCATGATGTCTCTCTCCATTGAAGTGCACTTTCAACCGAGTCAAGCTCTGGGCAGCCTCCACCACACGAGAAATATAAAAGGTATATTAAACTTTCAGCATCAGATGCGGCACATAGCTTCCCTTCCTGAAGAGCAAAAGTGGATGAAAAGAATAGATTCATCAAAGGTCGATCCCTATCTTCTAGGATAGCATGACCCCATCCAATAAGTACAAAATGTGGTTGCCTTGAACCATTGCTGACACGGATCACATTTTCTGGCCGGATATCACCGTGCCGGATTCCCGCAGATGATGCAGCAGCAAGAGCAGATAAACAGTCATGGCAACATCTCAGAGCCTCCTCAACACCAAACAATCCGTTCCGTATAAGATTTGAAATGGTCTCCCCAACTGGTGAGGTGACAAGGATTGGAGTGCTGCACAGTGGATGACCACAACTCCCACTGGAGTTCGGTTTGTTGCACGGGCCTGGATGGCCTACACGTCCAGAAGCTACCATCTGTGGTATGTATCTGCTAGAAATGTCCCTTTGCTTCATCAAGGTCAGTACTTTTGTCTGTCTTTGAACTTGGTACCAGGAATTCATATCCTCCCATGCTGGCTCCAGATGAGAAGGACTGGAACCTACATACAGCAAATAGGATTTGGTAGGCTCTTCCACAGGAACAGCACCATAAATAGGAGGCTCACTTTCTGTTCGAATATCATTGATTTGAAAACCCTTCTGGCAGTTAGAATCTTCCATGAAGACAATGGACCCTATCTCAAGCTTCAAGATTTCATCTGGTTTTACATCTACAGTGCCTTCCTCCTGCACTTCAACAATTTCAGGAGAATGACTTCGCTGCTGGAACCGAAACAGACCGTTTCCATTGGAATGTCTGTCCACCAAGTGTCTCTCTGATCTTCGACTCTGTAGCCGGGAACTATGCTCTGTGGCCAGTTCATCGAGAGAATACTTTGGTGCTCCGCAGAATTGGACCATTGAGTGGTAAACTGCAAGGAGAACTTGAAGGGTCCCAATGTCTCCCCAGTTAGCATTCCCAAGTTTATTCCATACCCGGTCAACGGAAGAAACTGTAATTTTGGCATCCTTTTTTATCCATTCAGCAGCACACTCATAAACATTGTTCAAATCAAAATTTAGCTTGTTCAGATCCCCTTGGACATTGACCACCCCTCCAAACTGTGAATCTACGAGGAGCACATAAACAGAATCTGAATTTCGAAGGACAGTGGAGGACCTGCTGAGGCTCCGAGAAAGCAATACACGAAGTGCAAAGAATAGCGCCTCCCCCAGGACAGCAGGAGACAGATGCTGGTCACTCTGCGCAGAAACCATTCCAATATCAGGTCTCAACAAAGTCAACACAACAATATGATCCCACCTCCCTTGTGAATGCTTCGAATTCTTGAGCAGAACAGCTGTCGCACAGACACCATCGAGTTTCCCACTGCCAATAGCCTTCTCGGCAGGGTAAAATCTGGAGCTCGTGCTGTGTATGCAAGCAACAGAGAAAGGCATAGCTTCCTCAGGACCCCAGAAAGCTTCCCACAGTCCCTTGATGCCAGCGTGCAGAAAATCCTCCAGGGCAAGGTGTGCAGTAGCTTCAAAAACATCCGATGTTGAGGCATGAAGAGCGTTGGGCATCCGCACTAGCTGCTGAAAAGTAACACCTTCCAGAGCATAGTCAAAATTCTGCAGCTCGGCAAGGTCAAAAGGAACATCGAAAGCCGGCTTCCGGAAACCGCAGTCCTCGCTGTCCCCAGAAAACCAATCCTCTAGGCTTGCAGTGAGAAGCTCGTTGTCCACAAACTTGCGGAGGAAATCTTTACAGGCGGATGATGATGAACTGCGCCGGTCAGGCGATTGGCCTGCCAGACACCACAAAATTCTCCAATTACAGTGTGTAAAGTTTGCACGGCAAATATGCCAAGTGATCGAATTTGAAGGACTTGAGGAAAGTACATGATTCAAGTTACTAGTATTAAGTACTGGGAAATAGCAGGACATGGCAAATAGGAGGACTCTAGTAGAGCACAGAAAGGAAGTGGATCACGGGTGCTAACCTGACGGCGTGGCCGCGTGAGAGCCGTGGCGAGGCCGGGGCCGGCGAGATCTTTCGGCGGCGAGGGCGAGACCGGCGAGATCTCGCGTGGGCGGGGCGGCGGGGTCGAGGCGCGCGAGATCTCTCGGCGGCGGGGTTGATGCCATCGTCGGCCCGCACCACACCTCACCGCCTTGTCACTGTCACCGTCGTTCTCGGCGGCAGCGGGGGCGTCGTCGTCTCCGCGGGCCGTCAGCCGAGCAACCGCCGCCTCCTCCGGCTCCTCTGCCGGTCGCCGCGCCGGATGCGGAGGGGGGGAGGCGGCGTGGGGAAGAAAAAGAGGAGAGGGGATTCGGGATCGAGCCGACTCGAGTGGCTGCTCTGGTTGATGAGTGCGTTGTGTGCTGCGGCTGCGGCTGGGGCGAAACACCTGGGCCACATGGTAAGTGAGGTACAGCTGTGCAAAAACACTCCCATCCATCTTTTCGTTCGCGCTGCCAATTCACGTCATTGTAGTTGCGACGAAAGCCCGATACGGTCACTGAACTTAAAAATACGGCTGTTACGGTCACTATATACGATGTGACGTGAATGCACGGTCACTGTTGGTCGTATGCGGTGAGTAGCCGCTCCTTTGACCACCTGTTGACCAGTCGTTGGGGACACGTGGCGATCCGCGCACCGGCCGCTGTGCATAATAAGCGAAAAAAACCTCGGGCATGTCTGAATCCCCCCAATCATCCCTACTCTGACGACGCCTCTTCGTCTTCGATTGGAGACAGGGAAGGCGCTGCATAGGCGCTGCCGCCCCGGCGATCATCGGCCTACAGGCGGCGCCGCGTGCTGATTTCTTCCGTGGCTGGAGAGGCGCCGCCGCCGCGTCAATTCCACCGGCGGTAGGTGGTGGCGATGGCCCCTGTTCGTCGCGCAGAAGGGGGGCCTCCCCCGTGTACAGTAAGTTTCATCTTGCGTAAATCCGACTTTTTTTGCGTTTTGATGTTCAAAGACACTTCTTTTTGGCCCGCATTGTCATTATAGATGGTATGCAGCTGGTAGTTTCGATGGATTGTACTAGGGTTTCGGTATTGGATTTGATGGTCTTTGGGGGTTAGGGTTTTAGATACTCGAATGAAATGATGCTATAGTCAATTATGATGCATGATGTTTCTGTCTTGTGTATCAGGCCCTCGAAGCACCAACTTCACTGTGCAAATCAACCATGGTGGATTTTTTGTTGGGCATGGAAGTAATCGTGCTTATATTAATGGTCGTGCCATTTGGTACGATAATCTGGAGAAGGTCACTTGGTCACCAATTATGATTGAACACCTTGTTGAGGAGATTGGTTATGAGATGGCAGGGAGGTTGAAGGTATACTATTGTGTCCTCATCCTTACACTCAGTAATAATGGTCTCAGGCAGCTTAGTGATGATGAGCAGACAGATAGAATGTTGATGTTTATTGATATTGGGCACCACTCCTTTAGTATATATCTTGATCATGATGAGAGCTTACAAGCAAACCTAAGTGAGGATGATGTTGTGAACTATCCTAGAGCCACTTTGCCTCCAGTATTTAGTCCTGCAAAGAGAGTGGGCAGCAGCATGACTGCAGAAACAGAGGAAGCAGAGGCAGAACCAGAGGCAGAACCAGAGGCAGCACCTACTCCTCTCCAGGTTGTATACCCTGAAGTGGAAGCAGGGAAAGATGCACAAGCTGTTGCAAATGAGGATGTTGGAGGAAGCACATCAAGTAGGAGGACCAAAAGCAGTCATGATATGGAAGCAGAGGATGATGCAAGTGATACAGTTGATGAGGACTATGACCCAGGTGTACTTGTGGACAGTGACAATGAGATAGGCAATGATGATGATGACTTGTTTGCAGATAATGTTGATGAGGATGAACCAGAACAGAAGCATAAGAACAATTCAAAGGAGCAAGTCAAGCATGGGAAACCTACAGATGAAGACAAAAGCAAGCAGCAGTACAATTCAGATGAAGACTTGTCTGAAGGTGAAGATTTGTGGGCACCTGATTCTGATGATGAGGAAATGCATTTAAAGTTCAAAACTTTCAGACCAGAGGATCTTCATAGGCCAAAATTCCATGTAGGGCAGGTTTTTGAGAGTGTGGAGCTTCTAAGGAAAGCAATTAAAGAGTACTCCTGTCAGAACAGAGTTGATATCAAGCTTCCTGTGAATGATAGGAAAAGAGTGAAAGCAAAATGTGATGAAGACTGCACATGGTACTTGTGGGCATCATATGATAGCAGAACTAAGGCTTTCATGGTGAAGAGATATGTGCATGAGCACACATGCAGCAAGAAGTGGAAGATTAGGGCTTTCACATCAAGATTCCTAGCAATGAAATACCTAGAGAGCTTTAGGGCTGATCAAGATATGAACTTGATGAATTTCTCAAGGGTTGTTCAGAAAGAATGGCATATGACACCCACTAGGATGAAACTTCAAAGAGCAAGGAGAATGGCTATGAAAATTATTTATGGTGATGAGGAAGGGCAGTACAAGCTGCTATGGAATTATGCTAATGAGGTTAGGAGAAGCAACCCTGGCTCATCCTTCTATGTTTTATTAGATGAAAATGCTAGGTTCAGCAAGTTGTACATGTGTCTAGATGCTTGCAAGAGAGGATTTATGGAGGGTTGTAGACCAGTCATCTTCCTAGATGGTTGCCACATTAAATCTAGATACAGAGGACAACTGCTTGCAGCTGTTGGGGTAGATCCAAATAACTGCATATTTCCAATTGCCATTGCTGTGGTTGAAGTTGAGGACACCCCTAACTGGTCATGGTTTCTTGACACACTCAAAAGGGACCTAGGCATCATAAACACTGAACCTTGGACTATCATGTCACACAAACAAAAGGTAAGTACCATCTTTCCTTTTCAAAGTTTATGTGTCATTACTATGTGAATGGTTGTGAATAGCTTCTGAATGGTTATGTTGCTTTGCAATTGTAGGGGCTCATCAATGCAGTTGAAGAACTGTTCCCTGAGTCAGAACACAGATATTGTGTTAGGCACATGTGGCAAAACTTTCAACAACATTTCAAAGGTGACATCTTGAAGAATCAACTCTGGAAGATAGCTAGGAGCAATACAGTGCAGTTGTATGAACAGGGCATGGAGGAGATGAAGGTTCTTAATGTTGAGGCATACAAATGGCTGCATGAGCTAGAACCACAAACTTGGGTTAAGGCTTTTCAAAGTGACTTGCCAAATGTGATATTTTGCTTAACAACATTTGTGAAGTTTTCAACAGGTACATTTGTGAAGTTTGCCAAAATGCTTTTCAATGTAGTGAATTACCAATACTTACCATGGTTTGCTGTTAAATGCAGGTATATCCTGGAAGCAAGGGAACTACAAATACTTAGCATGGTTGACAGGATTTACAGGCAACTTATGACAAGGCATTACAACAAACAGCTGGAGTCAGATAAATGGCAAGGAGATGTATGTCCAAAGATCAGGAAGAAGGTTGAGAAGGTAACAGAATTTGCAAACACATGCTATGTGGAGGGATCAGGAGATGGCTTATTCCTAGCAGGTGATAGAGGAATGGATTACATAGTGGACATGCACAAGAAAACCTGCACATGTAGAAGAATGCAGAAAGCAGGCATTCCATGCTCTCATGTGGTAGCCTGCTGCAGGAATGATAGAGTTGATCCTTTGAACATGGTTGATCATTGCTACTCAAAACATATGTTCAAGAAAGCATATGGCAATATTATATATCCTTGTAGAGATAGGAGTGAATGGGAAGACTTACATGGGCCTCCAATAATGCCACCATTGTACCAGAAGCATGTTGGAAGGCCATGTACTACAAGGAGACAGGCACCTGGAGAGGTTGATCATAGAAGGGGAGGGAAGAAAATCACAAGGCATGGTGTCATTATGCATTGTTCTTATTGTGGTGATGTAGATCACAACAGGAAGGGGTGCAAGACCTTGAAGGCTGAACTGCCACCACCTAATGTGCCTCCACCAAATGATCAACCATCTTCAAATGTGCCTCCTCCAAATGAAGGTAATGCTGGTGTCAATGTGCCTCCTCCAAATGAAGGTACTGCCGGTGTCAATGTCACTCCTCCAAATGAAGGTGTTGTTGGTGCCAATGTGACTCCTACAAATGTGGCTCCTCCATATGGTGATCTCATGGTTGACAACATGATTGCCCAGGTACTACTGATCTCCTCATCAAATGTACATTCTTTGTAGATGAATATCCTATTGTTCTCATCAAATGTACATTCTTCATAGATGCCAACAGCAAGGGTTGTGGAACAAAGGCCAGTACCTGCTTCTGCTTTCCTTACTGCTGCCCAAGTGCTGCTCAACCAGAGTAATGGAAGCCAAGGGAGCCAAGCTAGTTCAAGCACCATAAGGCCAGGTGAGTTGGCACAGAAATTGGAGGCCATGAAGAATCAGAAAGATAGGGAAGTAGAGGAGAGGAAGAAGGCAATACTTGCATCTAGAAGAGAAGAGGAATTGAAGAGAGTTGAAGAGATAGCAAAAAGGAAACATGAGGTTGCACAGAGGAAAGCTGAGCTTGCAGAGAGAAGAAGGTTGGCTACATTGGAGAGAACTGCCAAGAAGAAAGAAGAAGCAGAATTGAACAAGAAGGTTCAAGCTGAGACAAGAAAAATTATTGAAGAGACAAAGAAAACAATAGCTGGTGAGAGGAAAGCCAAGCAAGAAGCAGAGAGGAAAGCTGCTGCTGAGAAGAAGGAGGCAGAAAAGAGGGCAGAGAGGGAAGCAACTGCTGCAAAGAGAGAAGAGCAAAAAAAAGTTGCTGCTGCACAGAAGGCAGAAGAGAAGAGACTTGCTGCTACAAAAAAAGAAGAGGAGAAGAGACTTGCTGCTGCACAAAAAGAAGAGGAGAAAAGACTTGCTGCTGCACAAAAAGAAGAGGAGAAGATACTGGCTGCTGCTAAAAGAGAAGCAGATAAGAAGCTTGCTGCTGCACAGGAGAGAATGATGGCAATTGCACAGAGAGAACAGGAGAAAATTTTGGTTGCGAAAAGAAAAGCTAGCCAGAATGAAGCTGAATGTCCAAGAAAGACTGTCAAATCATCAATGTTTGATATCTTTAGGTAGGTTGCCAAAGTAAAAGTGTTTGGTAACTTCCTGATCATACTGTCTTTGTTATTCATATGATCATGAATGGTGCCAACTTGCTTTTGTTTAGGCTATGTACTGCAATAATCTATATTGGTTCTGTATGGATGATGGATGATTGTAAGAAAGTACTTCAAAACTGTATTCTCTTTTGGTTATCTATGGATGATGGATGGTAATATGATACCTTGCCTGCTGATAATATGTTGATCCATGATGCCCATTACTTATTCTCAGTTTCCTAGTCAATTCAACTATTAAGTGCAGATAGATTGATATCATACATCATTGCATCATTTTTACTGAAAACTCCAACATCAATGTAACT